GCATTCGTGGAGGCGTGGCAGAAAGTGTCGGTCCCCCCAATGCCTCTCTTACATGAAACCCCCCAGATTTCAAGATATAGCAAATACTCCAGAAAATTTTACAAATTGCCCCTTGAATTATTCTTGAATAAAATGCCTTAAACCTTAGAGAGATTGCGAAGAGCTCAGTAAATTATGAAGAAAACACCGTTACAGGGTATTACAGAAAAATCCATAACATTTGAGGTAATTGCACATAGCCCAGAACATTTTCAATAAAACCCCTCAAATTTATTTACGGAAAACTCCCCAATATTTTAAGAAATCGTAATTAACCCTACAATTTTTTGCACAAAACCCCCTGTAATATGTTGTAGGAAATACCCTAGATTTTCAAGAATTGCAAAAAAAACATTTGCATGTAATATATTTACAAAAAAATCCCTATATTTTAATAAATTAGCCCTAAAATTGTAATAAACTACTGGAATGATTTTGAAGAACTTTCCTAGTCCTCTAAAGAAATATCAAACATCCCACAGAGTATTTTGTAGTAAACTCATGAAATAGTTCCACAGAAACACCATCAAAATTTTAAAAAATTACAAATAGTCCCAAAAAAATTTGCAGCCAGCCCCTAATATTTTTGGAAAACTCCTTAATTTTCAAGAAATGGCAATAAGCCCAAGAAAAATTTTTAAATAACCCTCTGACTTAATTTTAAGTACATATCACTACATTTCCAATAAATATGCAAATAAATTTAGCAAAAAAACCCTAAATTTTTTTACATAAATCTGCCTACATTTTAAATGAATTTTAATTAGCCCAAACTATTTGTAGAGAACCACTAAAATCTTTTTTTTAGATAAAACCCTGTACTCTAAAAGAATTAAAGCAATCACAAATTACTTTTGTAGAAACCCCCAAGTTTTAGCTGAAAACACCCTAACTTTATGGGGCTAATTATTAGGACAAGAAAATTTGCTGAAAAATCTACTGAAATATTTTTTTGCATAAAAACCCCTTAATTTTAAGAACTTGGGATTAGCCCTGGAAAATTCTGCAGAAACCCCCTGAACTATTTTGCAGAAAACTCCTAAATTGGCAAGAAATTGCTAATAGCCCAAAGTCCAGGAGGTGTTTTGCGAAATTGACCCTTCTTTAATCCCCTCAACCCCCCAGTCACCAGCGAAACCCTTCTCCTTCTCAATCGGCCCCAAATACAACAGCAAGTGCGAGAGAAAATGTACCGCAACGCAGCGCGCGCACTGATCCGAAGCGCCGCCNGGCGGCGGTGCCAACGGAGGAGGCTGCGTTCGTGGAGGCGTGGAAGAAAGTGTCGCCCAACATCGATCCCCCAAAAACGCCTCTCTCTTTCATGAAGCCTCGGCCGCCTACTCCCGCTTCCATCCCTTCCAAGCTCACTGTCAACTTCGTTCTACCTTATCGATCCGAGATCTCCAGCAAAGAGGTCTGATTTTTTTTCCCTTCATTATTTTTTCCTTCTTGGATTTAGGGTTTCCGTAAATATTTATATTCGTTATGTCATGCTCTTGCATTACCAAATACTAGCAAGAAGATTTGGAATTAACGTTGATTTCGATGGGTCTAATTCGATTCATATGTAATCTTGAAGCTGCACGAGCAAAGGACAAAACCTTCTCAGTTCTTGCAAATTAATAGTAGCCTCAACCACATTGCAATTGAATGTCCGCCTAATGGCAATTCATCTCTCTTCGAGTAGAATGAAGCAGGAAAAGAAAGGGGCGGAGGCTAAAAGAAATAGACGAAGCCACTTCAACCTTGAATGACCTCAAATACCAATATATACATCAATAATTATACACCCCCATTGCCATATGATGGTATAGGCAGCTTGCAACGTTGTGTTATATGTCACTGATCTGGTTGCATATTAGCAAGTAAGGGAAACAAGAATAATGGAGATCAGGTCGGTTCCTTGCATTAGAGTTTGGTTGGAAGCTAGCGGTGATCAATAAAGCATCTCTAGAATATATTTCTTCCCCTTCACAGTTTTGGACTCAGTCATAACAGGCATTGATAAATTGTAATTTGCAAAAGGTTGAAGTTTGAACTTCTGAAAGTATATATGAACAATTGTCTTTGAAAGGGAATGATCTAGTGATGGAATGAATACTTTTGCGGCAACGAAAATATAGGATGCAAAATTTTGGTCCATAGCAAAGATAGATGCATACCGTAGATGAAAGGGAAGTCAAAATAAGAATAGTTTGGATGATAGCTGGGGTCTAGGACCCCAAGTTTAGGTCTACTTCTTGGTATAACGCCTACTATTTCATCATTGTTATAAAATTTATTAATAGAGTACATCACTATGAGTATATTATGCCTCCAAGAGAAACTCGAGGATATTGGTCTTTTTTTATTTCATCCTGTACAAATATCATGCCATTAAACAGGAGGCTTCAAACAATGTTTTACGGGTTTTTCCTTGCATTATTTTCAATATTGATCAGTGGTAAATGAACTTAATCTTGAGCTTCTTCTTTATAGTTTGATGGTGTTTTCTACTCATGTGATGAAAACAAAGTATTCAACAAGGACTTTCTTGATAGGCTTCTACCTAATATGTTGCATGACTTGTGAGTATTTGTTAAACAAGTACCAAATGTATTTGACAATAATTGAAAAAAGGCAAAATTTCAAGTGATGTAGCAAGGATTTTAATGCTAAAGAACTGATACTGATAAATGAAAGGTTTAAAAATGATCGAATGGTTGTAAAAATAATTAAAGATTTTATTTGGACGAAGGGATCTTGATGTTACCAAAAATCAAAGGTTTCTGGCAGCTGTGACTCTTAATAATTTACATTTGGCAGTCGACAACCAAATGTAAAACAATAGTAGAGACAAAGAAATGGATTTTGATGTTTACAATCATCTGTTGAAACTTTAAACAAATTACGTGAGCCGTCATTGCCTAAAGAAGCCTTCGTACTTTGACAATAAGGGTTTGGGTGTGGGGGATTTGATAATCCCCGCAAAAAATATCTATTTTCTTTTGATATGCCTGTGTTTATCTATTTTTGGAAAGCAAAACTGTGTGACACTATTTGTTTCCAATATATATATATATATATATGATATTTATATATATATATATATATATATATATTATGGTGTAAACTTGTGTCAACTTAAGTGGATAGAAAATAGTTGTCCACCAAACTTTTTATCATGGATCTTGCCTAAGGACCTTGCATGATATGAAGAGACTTTTTATATTAATAAATGAGTGGCTAAAAAGTTTGGTGCGACAACTATTCCCTATCCACTTAGTTGATAGGATCTTGCTCTCTTCTCTCTCTCTCTCTCTATATATATATTTATATATATATATATATTATATATATATATATATATATATATGAGAAAAAGGTATGCTTGGTATCAAGCATATCATTTACTTTGGTAATGATGTGGCATGATATGAGCCTTTGGATTGGAATAGGTTGAGAGGATGAGTGTGTGAACTATTTTGCAATAAACCTCATCTCATTCTCTCTCTCCCCCCCTCTCTCTCTCTCCCATCTCATCTCTTCCCCCCTTCATTCCCAGAGACATCATTCTCTCCCCTATCTCTCTCTCTCCCCCTATCTCTCTCTCTCTCCCTCACCCATCTCTCTCTCCGGCCACCACGCCACCACAGCTGCCCGCACCGCACCGCCCTCCACCACCGCCTCACTGCCGCGCATCGCCCCTCCACCACCGCCTCACTGTCCGCACCGCTCCACCCATGCCGCCCGCGCTGCCCGCACCAGTGCGCCGCACCTTCGAACCTTCACGCCGACACCGACCGAGTGTGAAGCGGTGGGGTGACGCTTACACTCACTCCGTGTTCGTGTGGGCAACTGCGGTCGAGTCCACGATTGTTGCGCGGTCCGCGGTGGAGGTGCGGGCGCGGTGCGGGTCGGTGCGAGTTGGGAGGCGGGCAGTCGCGGTAGGTTTGTGCGGTGGAGGGCGGCGGCGGGGCGGCTGTGGTGGTCCGAGAGAGATGATGGGTGAGGGAGAGAGAATGAGTTCTCTGGGAATGAAGGGGGAGAAAGAGAGATAGGGGAGAGGAGAGGGGGAGAAGAGAATGAGATGAGGGTTTTTTTTAACAATCACTTCACCCACTCATCCCCCTCAGACTATTCCAATCCACAGGCTCATATCATGCACATAACTATACGAGTAAAATGTAGTATGCTTAGTAGCAAGCCATACCCATTTCTCTCTCATCTCTCTCGACTCGCGTCTCTCTCTCTCTCTCTCTATAGTAATTATACTATATATATATTATATATATATAATATATTATATTATTATCAAACAGAATGCAGCTTCAACACTGCATTCACCAACCAAGTTAACATATTTAAAAAATCACCGACGGTGTACAAAAAGTGTCTTGAAATTTAAAGCCTCTTGACTCATGAACATATCTGTTTGTACCCAAGAAGTAGGTAGCAAAAGAACTTGTGAAATTTTCTGCTTGTACCCAAGAGGTAGGGAGTGAAAGAACGTGTGAACTTTTCTCCTTGTACCCAAGACCATATAATGTTTTGTAATATAAGTCTGTCTAAGTGAACAAGGCAAAGAACTAGGTCAATCGTGAAGGATAACTATGCCACTCATTGCACTCACGCAGAAGTCCAAGAGTTAAAATTGGATGCTCACTGCTTCTTATTTAAGCATAGGTACATGGAACCATATGATATTGTATAATATATACAAAATGCTTACCTCGAACGTTTCATTGAAGCGATCACTTATGCAAGTGTTATTGTTAGATTTGATGGTAGACGTTGGCCTTGGGGATTTCTGTCCATTGCCTCAGTTTATGTTAACTGGTGCTTGTTCAAAGGGAAACTTATCAGATCATGCTTACAATGGCGTTACTTTTTCGTTCTTTTTATTAGTTTTGGAGGATATTTTTTATTATAAAATTTAAATGACTCTCAAGACATAATTTGAAATAACTCATGGATAAAAAGATATCATATAAATTTGTTTGTTAATGTCGTGATATTTTGTGTGGTTTGCTTCGGTAAGTCAGTTCTATCCATGTTAGGGTACATTATCTTAGATCTACGATACAAAACTTCTCCTGTGAATACATGTGGTCCACTTTGGTCAAAGTTTATCTGCGATACAAAACTTCTCCTGTAAATACATGTAGTCCATTTTGGTCAAAGTTTAACCTTTTTTTTTCCTGTAAAACTGTATGTAGTACTAAACTTTCTAAATCATAGTTTTCTACAATGCTCGTCATACATTTCAACTGTATCTTTCCATGTATAAGTACAGTTTGTTTGTATATCTGGACATTACAATAAAACCTTACTTTTGTATACAATATAAATTGAAGGAGGATTCCCTTGTCTTCTTATTTACCTGTGCATAGGTACACATGAACATGACAAATTATGGAATCATTGAGCAATGCTAATACTTGAGAGAGGCTCTGCAACCGTCTCTTTTTTAATTATGTTGCCATTATTAAAATGTAAGACTTTATGTGCAATCTAAATTGAAGGTCATTTTTCTTTCTTTCTTTCTTTCACCTATGATGGGCTTGGGATGGTATATTGGTATAGGTAATATGATCCCATTTATGTGTGTTTATTTCTTTTGTGCAATCTAAATTGCAGGTCCTTTTTCTTTCTTTCTTTCTTTCACCTATGATGGGTTTGGGATGGTATATTGGTATGGGTAATATGATCCCATTTGTTTGTGTTTATTTCTTTTGTGTCCTATAGTTGTATGAATTTTGTCATAGCAGCTCATATCTTCTTATCTCTTCAGCTGGACCCCGTTTTTTGGGTGCCATGGAGAACTCCTTGATTGCATAAGCTTAAGTTGACAGTAGGTTGACAGTTGTTCATAGAGATATATATTTTTTTCAATTCTTTTATGGAGTTTTCTCGAGTTTGATTTGTATTTGATGTCAGATTTTTTTACGGAAAAGATCCCACTGTGATCATGGGGATGTATCTTTATGTTTTTTATACTTGTTCTTGTGCATTGTTTATGGCATGGATATCCAAAGAAAGGAGTTGGGTTTTTCTTAACAAATAGATGCAGTTTGAGGATAAGAACCTAAATTGGAACTCAATGTATTGAAGTCAAATTTGATGTAGAAGGAAATATTTACTAGGATTTAAGAGAGAAACAATATTTATACAAAATTTATAGTGGTTCATTTATGGTTGGAAACAAATTCTCTGACACCTATGGTTAGTTGGTCAAAGCGCCAATTCTCATTGGAATACTTTGCTCAGGAAGATGTTCCTAAAGGTTAAGGGACTACTATTTTTACACTGGATATGAGTGTTAAACTCTGAATTTGTTCAGATTTTCAGGGTAACAAAGGTTCTTCCAATTTGAAGTACTGTTTCAGCTGTTCTCATTGTGATGATGAAGTATCTTTTCATGTTCTCTGTACTATGTTTCTTAATCAATTTTTTTATTTTAGGCAATGCCTGTTCAACGTTTGGAGTATGACGAGGCTAAGCGTTATGGGTTAGAGCCTCAAAGCTTTTTTCGGTTCTTTATATACACTCATATCCTGGATAATGGATAAGTAATCAATAATCATTAATCAAAATTCATTAGGTTAGTGAATATGATTCTATTTTTAAATTCTTTTAGTTCATTTCTTATTGTTTGTAACTGTTTAGGCAATATGATGATACTCATCCTCAATTGATTTTAGAAATGTGAAAAAAGTCTTGACCAGTTCTGATATCAGCCTTTGTCACTGAATATGTTCACCAGCTATTTCTGCTGCTCATTAGTGAAATTGTTGCCACTTGCATCCCTGCAGCTTCTTGTAGCATCATCCAGCAACAGCATGATCCTTGAATATGTACCTCTTAAAGAGTCACACGGTTATCTGTCAATTGAGTTTGGATGTAGGAGTTAGTGAGTTACTATGTAATCATATTTCTTTAAGGGATGTTGTACTTAAGTAATGGGATGTAACTGCTTGATAGTCTCCGTACTAGATGTTCCGCTTTTGGTCAATCTTCTGACCTGGTATCCATGCCTGGACCGGTTATAAACAGCCATCTGGTTGTGAATTGCTTGTATGACTTTTCCTGAGAGTTTACTGGTATATTGTTATCGTATGCTTTTCAAGAAAAATAGTAGTAATGAAGGGGATTTGTATAAAAGCTTTCCTTCATCTGCAGCAGACATTTCTCTGCCAAACCTTATCAGTGATATACTGGAAAAACTGGCTGCGTAAGTTCACATGTAGGATTGCATTGACAACGTTTAACTAATTTCTTTTGCTGCAAAATGCTCCTTGTTATTTGCGGCACTAACTGGAACATTTCCATCTTTCTGTGAGGTTTGCTGTTATCAGAAGGTAAACTTGGTCATGAGTGAGTGTTGGTAGGTTTACTGATTCTCTGACACACGTATCTTTTTGGTAGCTATGACATTAGCAGCCAATGTAAATTATCCCATGCCTGCTTTTTCAAGTTTAAATCTGGTTGCAGTTTTAATCTTTGTTTGTGATGGGTGCTGTTTTTTTAGCTTCCTGAATTTTTTTTCTTTTCAAAAGAACTTACATTTATGTTCCACTTTGATTTTTGTGGACAAAGGTTGACATGGTGATCATTCCAGCAACAACTGGACAAATGGGTGTTCTCCCAGGACACGTTGCCACCATTGCAGAGCTTAAGCCAGGGGTTCTCTCAGTCCATGAAGGCTCCGAGACGACCAAGTACTTCGTCAGCAGCGGTTTTGCCTTCATCCATGCAAACTCTTTTGCTGATATAGTGGCTGTGGAGGCTGTTCCTGTGGACCGTATTGATCCAAGCCTGGTCCAAAAGGGACTTGCCGACTTCACCCAGAAGCTTAGCTCGGCCTCAACTGACCTCGAAAAGGCTGAGGCGCAAATTGGGGTTGATGTTCACAGTGCACTTAACGCTGCTTTAACTGGATGAACATAATCTGGGGTCTGGTGGCTTGTTGAATGTAGATGTAATAAGCTGAGCTATCAAAATCAAAATTATCTCTGATTGTTGTTGGCATTATCTGTTGCGTGTTTTGGATCCTATATTAGAGGATTATTTCTGTAACTAAGCAGCTCCAGAGTAGTGATGGAGCGTACAACAGTCGAAATGTCTCTGACTATGTTCTTGACTGTGAGGTTGGGCATCACATACAACAAAGTTTAGTTTGTTTCTGTTTTTCTGTCGAGTCATAATATTGATCAAGTAGACATTTGTGTTGCTTGATGCAGTATAATTTGAGCCTGAATGTTTATTTCTTGCTTTTTCAGTGTTTACGAATTGCTTTTCCTTTGTAATTGAAAGTTGATCTTGAACATTTATTTTTTGCTTTCTCAATTCTCTCATACTGAAAAATTCTTTGTAACTGATCATTTTTACCTTTGTTATGATTGTTATTTGGTTAGCTCTGGCTCATTATCTGTTGAAATTTCGTGGTGCCTTTCATTACCATTGACGATGCACCAAGGGGATCCTTGATCTTCCACTGATTTTCATTATTTACTTCAAACCATTTATTTGAATAAATGGAAGCCTTTATTATCAGATAATTATCTTAATCCCGGAGATCGAAATCTTGATTATTGGAGGAAGAATGTTTATCATTGTAGTTCAAAAAGTTCACGATGTGGATGACTCCCTCATAAATTCCTTTGATGACACAAATCCCTATTTCCTATTGACAGCTCATGATCGTGACTGTATGTCAGTTATGGAATAGGAGGTTATTTTGTGGATTATGAGGGGGTATTAGGGTCCTCAAGGTTCCTCACATGGTTGGTTCCTGAGCCATAAATCCTATCATGTACATAAAGTATTCGTGAGAGGTCGGAGTTGGGATCTCCGATGATTCATCCGACGATCAAGTTAGTAAAGAGCTTGAGTGAGGAAGTTAAGTAGCAAATAAAGTTGCTCAAAGTCACTTAAAAATAGCTTAACCTTGGTAGCAGACCTCAATTCCCTTTTATAGTAGATAAGAAGGTTAGATAGGTAACTTTGGCCGAGTCCAGCTGATGGCTTGGTCATTATCTACTTTATATGTGTCGATCGTTGAAGGGGGTGAGTCATCGAGGCGTTTAATGTGGGGATGACAGGATGCACGTAGGTGTTGACGAGGTCCGATGAGTCATAAAGACTTTCGGGGTTAAAATAATGATGATTCTGATAATGCATTTAAGGTGATGGTAATTGACTGTTGACGGGGGCTTGAGGGTGCACCGCCTTATGATTCGTCTCACTGAGGCTGGAAAACATTGCTTTTTAGTCGGCTTTACAGGTTGTCGGCCTAGAAAGACCGAATGCCAATAGAAAGTGGAGTCGACTAGAGTGGTAGGTCAAGTGAGGATGCTTCTCATCTCGATCATGCGAGTAGGTTGACAAGTACCGCCTTTTTAGTCCGCTTCATAAGTTGTCGGCCTATTGGGTCGATCGTTGGAGTCACTCGAGTCGTCCTTCTTTAAGCAGTGACGTAGCCAGGATTTAAACATTGTTTGGGGGAGGGGGCGCAAAAATATATATGTATGATGATGAAAAGAATATATTATAAAATTAATCATAAAAGCGTATGTATAAAGTTCGATAAAAAAATCTCAGTGAAAACATTAATCCTAAAATTGTGCACGCCGCTCTTTAATAGAAACAAAATCATCAACCAGTGAATCTAAATCAAAGGTCTTCATAATATATCTCTCAATAAAGATAAGCAAACTGTCAACAAGAAATTCATCCTCCATCTTATTATGCAATCTAGTCTTCACAAGCTTCATAGCCGAAAATGCTCGTTCGGTAGTTGCGTTAGAAACCGGAAGAGTCAAAATCAAATGAATTAATCTATCAACAAGAGGATAAGCCATGGATTTCTCCATCTATGCTAAACCCTGGCATAGCTCCGTAATAGATGACAATCCCTCAAATTCTGGATGCTTCGACACATCAATATAAAAGTGTTGCAACTAAAATCTCAAAGTAATCGTCTCTTGCTCTGTAAAATCACGGGGATAGTACTTTTTAGCAATAGTACAAATATTCTCAATATCAAAATATTTGTACACATCTTTCGGACTTAAAGAAGCACTAAGTTTCAAGAGCTCGATCACTCGCTCATTGAACCTTGTATTTAGCTTTTGTAACTGAAAGTCAATAGTGGCGTTAAATATATCAAAGTGCTAATTATGTTTAGCGGTGATACGATCTAGTTTGCGACGACTTCGACATTTAAAATATGGACCGTCCAAATCTTGAACAACAATCTCATGATTGAAGCAAAAAGTCATCACATTCTCAATGAAAGAATCCCACCCATCATCTCTCAAGGTTTGAATCAGTGACGTTGTACTTGACACTAAACGCATTGCATTCACGATATCTTGAGATTTTTGCTGTAAAGTTTGGCAAAGAACATCAGTAATGCCCATAATTTCTTTCATCAGATGAGCAAAAAAAACAAATTTGAATGATCTAATCTTTTTCAAAGCTGCACGTGCATCTCCTTTTAGTTTATAGCGAGCACCGTTATTTTTGATATTTTCAAGAACAACATGTAGGGGAGTAAAGTTGATTCCCGAAAGGAGGAGATGTGTATTAATAAGAATTGCTTATTACAAATCAAGAAACCAAATTATAACAGAAGCGAAGATAATGCTCTTTTTGTTTAACGTGGGGTCTTCGGTAGCGATAGGATCTCCTCGAATGCTTGCATCGAGTTTTCTTCCCTTGGACGATCCGATCGAAACTACAGTTGAGCTTCAGTACGTAGTAGAATCTCTTATGTGATTGAGTTCGATTGCCCGAGCTTGATGAGTATCAATACCGAATGCTTAGAGAAGGCTAATATGCAAGAGTTTGCAAAGAGCCAATAGTCTCAAATCTGAGAGTTCAGATTGAGTCTACTTCAACAATCCAGGCTTTTGCTTAAGAATGTCCAACCAAGCTCTGAAGATGCCCAGCCGCTCAAGCCCACAAGACTAGCAACAAAAAGCCTCTGATTGAAGAGTCTTAGAAATGCCAAGCTTCCAAACCTCCAAAAATACCTCCAGAAGCCTTCGAAGCCTCTGAACCCCCTTCATGCTGTCAAAGATGGCTTATAAATAGGTAAGAAAAGACATGGTCAATCCCTTGACTTGTGGGATGTGATCGCTTAGGGGTGAGGAGCACCATACCTTCCCCTATAGCTGTGGGATGTGACCACTATAGGTGATGAGAGCCATACTTTCATCACTCAGGATGTGGGACATGGGTAGGCCCACTCCCACAGGCAAGCAGCCGATTACACTGCTCAGGCGAGACTGGCAGGTTTACAGGCGAGCTTTAGCGATGTTTGAATGCTTAGGCGAGCTTGCAGGCGAGCTTGGCGAACAGGCGGGGTCGGTTGATCGGACCCGTCAATCATTAGGCGAGCTTGAGTCTATAGGCGAGCTTTGGTTCGTGCTGGCGAACTACCTGCAGGCAAGCTTCGACTCGTGCAGGTGAGTGAAACATTCAGGTGATCTTGACTCGTGTTCTGGCAAGTCAAGTGAACAGACGAGGCTGAACTCGTGCAGGCGGGCTTAATAATCAGGCGAGCTTAACCCGTGCTGGCGAGTCAAGCAAACAGGCTCAACCCATGCTGACGAGTCAAGTAAACAGGCGAGGTTATCTCGTGTAGGCGGGCTAAGCATTCAGGCGAACTTGACTCGTGCTAGCAAGTCAAGCAATGTTGGCGAACTTTGGCTCGTGCAGGCGAGCCAAGTGTTGGTGAGTCAAGCTTGCAGGCGAGCTCTGCTTGGCCTCTTGAATGCATGCGAGCTTGTCTTAGGCTGGAAAGTCAATCAAACAGGTGAGCTTTATCTGGCCTTCTGAATGTAAACGAGCTTTGCTTACTTTGAGCACGCAGATGAACTCAAACAGGTGAGATTTGAGTTCTCTTGTGCAACTGTAATTTTATTGCCTACACAAAAAAAGTTGCATTATGCATCCTTAGAAGGCTGCAAACTGGAGAAAAGTGAGAGCTCCAACGGGTATCACCGGCTCGTTTTAAAATGCACATTTGATTAAGTCCTCTTCCTGTCTCAATTTTATCCATGGCTAGCATGCGTGCAATTTCATCTATTTGAGCAGCTTGCAACTCATCATGACGCTTAGAAGAGGCATCAACTGCATTAATGATGAAAGTAAAATTTAGAAAAAACTCATGAACATCATTTACCTCTGTAGCAACTATTATTAACTGCAATTGTAGTCGATGAGCCATACAATGGACATAATATGCAAAAGGATACTCCCTAAGAAAAAGTGTTTGCAATCCTCTCTATTCACTACGCATGTTGCTAGCCCCATTATATCCCTGTTCTCCAAGATTTTGAAGATTAAAACCATGATGTGAAAGAATGTCAAATAGTTTAGAAAACATAGTGGTCGCTGACAAATCCTTAATATGGGCAAGATAAAAAATCTCTCTCTTACACAACTTACGCCATCGACAAAACGAATCACAAGAGCCATCTGTTCTCTCTTAGTTGCATCTCTTGATTCATCAACAATTATGCAAAACTTAGATACTCCAATTTCTTCACGAATGAATTTTCGAACTTTATTTGCACAAACATGCAAGGTCTCCTTTTGAATTAAAGGAGAAGTATACTTCGTATTAAATGAAGCATTTTCTAAAATAATACTAGTCACAACCGGATTATATAATGCTGTGTATTTGGGCAACTCAAGGAAATTACCTTGATTGCTTGAATAAATGTTCTCACCCTGACCTCTTAAAGCATACCCCTGCAATGAAAGCCAACGAATAGCATCAATTGAAGTTTTGATTCGAAGTCTATTCTTCTCAATTTGTTCAGTCTATTGCCTCTCAATCACTTTATCAACATGACTAGATTGATTCATTAAGGTTACACAACATTTTATAGGATTATTATGTGGAGAACATGGATCTTCTCTCAAATGTTTGAGAAAAGTACATCTTTTGTCACTCTTGACTTTTTTCCAATTTCTAAACCCAACAATTGTAGACGCGTCTCATCCATTTGCATAGTCGGTCTCTCAGTTAAAAGATAACAATGAAGAAAAAATACCGCATCTTTTTCAGGAGAATACTCAAGCCAAAGAAATTCAGAATACCAAGAAACTTGAAATCGACGCAGATATTTTTTTGGTCCAGACAATGGAAAACTACTGAGCATATGTTGGTAAGCACCGAATCTCAAATAAGCTCTCATTATCTCATCACGTTCATTGACTGAATATTCCCACATAGGTTGGCGTAATCCTGGATCACGTTCCATTGAAGCAAAATTAGGATTGTTGACTCTTGGCGATTGAGGAAGATACATAATTTCAAATGGAGAAGATTCTGAATTTGAAGGTAAATTAGTCCCCACGCCGATACTACTTCCTCCACTAAAAAATGAATCAAGTCTCCTTTGTTTGCCAGACATATCGACTGCTAACATATTAAAAAAATGACATGAATATAATCAAATAACTATTTACATCTAGGATTTACAAATAAATTTATAAATACAAATAAATAAATAAATCACATAGGAATACAAATCAATAATTAAAATATACACATATCGCTCAGTATTAAAAAAGTAAATATGAAGAAGAGGACATGTACCTTTTGGGTTTAGAGAATACACCACACCTTGAAAATTGAGAAGAAAAACCCTAATTTGAGACCACAAATTGAGTTGTTGAGCCAAAATTAAAAATCCAATTCAATGTGATTTTTTAAAAAATCACAAATAAAATGTACAAAAAATCGAATCACTGCTGAGAGATCTGCCCACTTCATGTGGTTTTGGTTACAATTGACCAAATGCAAGCTTATTATTAAGTCCAACACATTAATTCATACATGAGCTTTGGGTTTATCATCTCATATGTGGTTTTTGGTCAACTGGGCTTGAAATTAATTTTTTTGAGAAGGCTAATGTGTTGTTGCTTGTTGGAATATGGGGCATAACGGGCTTGGTTATTTTATCCTACTATGTATAATGTATATGTAAAATGATGCCAGGAGGGGGGGGGGCTGTCTTTAAATATGGTTGTTTATGCACATGATGAGACACATGTTGACCTTTTAATAGGATCAACACTTAAACTATTTTGATAAATGGACTAAATGAAACTATTTCTTTAAAGTTTTTCCGTATTTTCTTTTTCATGAAATAAATCAACATCTATTTTAAAACGATGCACATGTTCTACTGTAATAAACAATTTTTTTCTGTGTAAAAGATCCACATCCATATTGATGATCTTTAACATGAGCAATTTCATTCTTTGCGCGTCATTATTTCATATTTTTCTCAAACGAAAATTCTAATTTACATGTAAGGCAACGTAAACATAATATCTTTGTTATTATTATATTATTTCTGGGAGTATTATTATCATTATTATTATTTCCTTCTTTATTAACTTGTGAGCTTATGAAATCTATTCCTTTATACAAATAGGAGGATCAAAGATTCACTGTTCATGCTACAGTAAATGCTACAGTAACATTTACTATAGCAGTATTACTGTAGCTAATAATTAATTAAAAATATTACTGTAGCACACGGGTATGCTATAACATTTAAAAGATACTGTAGCAGAGCGGGATATTGTAGCACTTCCAAAAATTCAAATCATGCTATATTAAAAAAAAAGAGATTACTGTAGAAAAAAAAATACCGTGCTTTGCACGGACCGCAAACTAGTAGGAATTGGAATTTTGGACTGGGGTGTGTACTTTCAGATTTCGGGTCGGTTTTTGCCCTACGACTACGAGGTCATCTACTACTACGACACTAGCGGGTCTACTTACTTAACCCGTGACCCGCTAAGATAATAATTTGACCCTCTCCAGAATAAATTCGTCAGCGAGAAAAAAAAACCCGCATTCACTTCTTTCTCCATAACTTTTAGCTCCGAACCCGATCCTTGGGGCCGTCGACGGCGGAAACAGCCAACGAATACGACGCCGGAGACGCTTATAGGAAAACGGCGGTGTACGCAGACGTAGTCGAAGAAAAATTGGGCGAGAAAAAGCAGAGTTAGGGTTTTATTTTTCCAAATTTAGAAGGTGCGTTTCGATCTCCTTTTGTTAAATATTTAAAGAATGATGTTATTATTATTATTATTGTTAATCGAACTATTTAAGAAGCTTGGGTTTATTTTTTGTCCGATTTAGGGCTAGGGTTGACTACGAATTAGGGTTTAGTTGAATGTTCATAATCACCTCATACTTATTGGCTTACTGATAGTATTTATAATATTTATTAATGATTCAGGGAAGGGATAGAATTTTTGTGGAATTTTTATATACAGGACGGAAGAGAGTAATCAAAGTATTTTCTTGCACAAGTTTTTTTTTTATTAGAAAAAGGATGGATTACCATAACAGTAATCTAGCCAGCTAAATTAACATAAACTGGTTGTTACATATAATGCGCACATCCCCAACCAAAAATGTGCACTCAGATCCCAACTGAACTTACAAAACAAACAAAAACACACTCTTGCACAAAGTATTAAATCTCCCAAAACACTTATCTACTACTACTAAACTAAAATAGTAGTGAGTTCCATACTCAACAAAAGTTTTTAACATCAAAACATCATTTAAAACACTGCATCCAAAGATCATCATTCTAGCTGAATCACAGAATTTCCAATGCTCCTGTTCTCTCTTCCTACAGCTCCAGCAACTTGTAGTGCTCTAGATAGCTCATTCCTCTTTCTTCTTCTCTCTTGAAGCCTGGTCACTCGAGTAGAAATACTCTTAGAACCTAGCCAAAAGGTTGAAAATGTCAAAATCTTGCTCAAAAGCTCAAGAGACCTCTTCTTCTTGTTAGAAAAGAGCCTATCATTACGCTCCTGCCATATGCACCAAATAACAGAACAAATAATATCTCTTTCCATCTTGCAATCATCATTCTCACCAGCAACCCAATTAATCCAAACTTCCTTTAAAGACTTCATTTTAAAATCTTTTTCAATTTTTAATTTGAACTGTATAGATCTCCAAATTGATTATACAAACTCACATTCAACAAACAAATGTGTATGACTCTCTTCTGATTTAGAGCATAAACAACAAGTCATCTCTAAATGAATTCCTTTTTTATCCAGAATATCTTTTGTATTTAAACTTTTTCTTAAAGCCAACCAAACCAGAATTTTCACTTTTAAAGGAGTGGAAAGTTTTCAAATTTTTGCACAATCAAACCTTAAACCTCCATCAATAAAAAATTGATAGAAAGATTTTACAGTGTAAATACCATTTGCCTCCCATAACCAAATTCTTTTGTCTTCTATTTGTTCCAAATTTAAGTCCTTAATGAGATTCAATATATTCAAAAACTGAAAAACCAAATTTTTAGGTAATTGCCTCTTGAATTGAATATCCCATATCCACATATTATTTCTTTTCTTTCTCAGACTGCTGATAAAAGCAAACGGAAAAGAAGTGGTAATAAACAGAGATGGAAATAAAGAAGCAAGAGTAGACGAGCCTAACTATTTATCAAGCCAAAATAAAGTATGATTTCCTTCTCCCACATCCACATGAGTACTGCATAAGAAGCTTTTAGCATTAACAAATAAATTTTTCCAGAAATGAGATAAATGCACTCTACCAGAATGAAAATATTCAGTCCAATCTTTTCTTTCAAAATATTTATAAAAGCTGATTTGTTTCCAAAACACATGTTTATCATCAAACCATTTCCAAAGCCATTTCCCTAACAAGGCTTTATTTATGATTTTTTAGATTTATAACTCCCAAACCACTAAAAATCTTAGGTCTACATATCTCCTCCCATTTAATGAGATTTGTACAACTCTTATGATCTAAAGACCCAATCCACAAAAATCTTCTTCTTATCTTATCAATTTTATCAATGACCCAAGAAGAAAATAAGAAAAAGGATAACAAAAAAATAGGCATAGAAGATAGAACTGAGTTAACTAAGACTAGTCTACCCCCTCTAGATAAGGTTTTGCCTTTCCACAAAGCTAACCTTCTCTCAATATTCTCAATCAGAGGAGACCAATCATCTTTTTTTAATTTTTCAGGTCTCAGAGGTACTCCTAAATAAGTAATGGGAAAATTCTCACTTTTACAATTCAACATAGTGGCCAAACTTTGTTGTAAAGAATCATTATTCTCAAGAGCTATAATAAAACTCTTATTAAAACTTATTTTTAATCCAGAAACAAGTTCAAAACAGTATAAAATCAACTTTAAAACTGTCAATTGTTCTTTTTTATTTTTGCAAAAGATCAAAGTATCATCTGCATATTGAAGACAACAAACTTTGTGAGCCAGGGCCTAAACCTTCAATAAGATGAGACTCAACTTCAAGATTCAACATTCTGGTGAAAGAATCAGCTGCTAGAACAAAAAGAAGAGGTGAAAGAGAATCTCCTTGACGAACACCACTTTTGGACATAATCCAACTCCCAGGTTTACCATTAATATTAATGGCAGACATACCCCCTCTTAAGCACAAATTACCCCAATTTAACCATTTAACACCAAAATTTTTAGCTTTCAAAACCTCTAAAATAAAATCCCAGTCCAACATGTAATATGCTTTCACAAAATCTAATTTTAATAAAATTCCTCCACTTTTATTATTTTGAAAGCAATAATTAATAATCTCTTGAGCTACAGCCACTCCATCAAGCAAAAATCTGTTCTTGATGAAACCAGATTGAACAGGGTCAATAAGCCATTCAAGCTTAGAATTTAATCTATTAGACAAAATTTTGGTAATCACTTTAAATATAACATTTAGAAGGCTGATGGATCTATAATCATTGATTGTAATAGCCTCATTTTTTTTGAATAAACACAATATGAGCATAATTGAGTCTATTGATCTCCAAATTGCCCTCATAAAACTCCTCAAAAAGCTTCATAACATCTTTTTTCACCGTATCCTAAAAAACTTGAAAAAACAAAGCAGGAAATCCATCTGGTCCAGGGGATTTATTTCCATTCATATTAAACACTGCCTTATAAACTTCCTCCTAAGAAAAAAGGATTTCCATATCATTAGGACCTCATTCTACCATAGGAAATAACCTATTCCACTCAAGTTGGCATCTATAAGGCTCATTCTGACCAAAGATCTGTTTATAATGATTTGAGAAAATCTGAGCTATACCTTCTTCAGAATAATCATCACATTATTAACAGTAATTGAAGCAATCAAATTATTCATTTTCCTACCATTAGCAATTTTATAAAAATATGCAGTGTTATTGTCCCCTTTTTTCAGCCAATGTGCTTTAGATCTTTGCTTTCACATTTGCTCCTCTTGTAGCAAAATCTCATTCAACTGAATGGAAATATCATTTTTCTTAATCAATTCATCATCATCCAAATCTTTATTTTCCTCTAAAACTTCCCATTCTAAGAGATTATCCAACAACTCATTTTTTTGTTTAACACTATAAAAATTAGAATGAATCCATTACTTGGTGCACTTTCTCATAAATCTTAATTTACCAACAATATTCTTAGCAACAGATGAGCTTTTAGGCGCACACTTCCACCACAAAGGCACACCCTTCTTAAACTCTTCAGATTGTAACCAAATTTTCTCAAACCTGAAGCTTTTAACATATTGTTGATTATTCCCACAATCAAAACTAATTAGAGCATGATCAGATAATTAACTACTAAGGCCTTGCTGTCTGGAAAAAGGAAAAACATCTTCCCATTCAGAGTTAAAAAAAACTCTATCCAGTCTAGCCATAGAAGGTAATCTTCTCTTATTAGTCTAAGTAAACTGTCTCCTATGTAAAGGACTATCAATCAATTCCAACTCATTGATCACCTCTTTAAACTCTTACATTTCTTTTCTATGATTAGTTTTACCCTTTCTTTCAGCAGCATTAATAGTAACATTAAAATCCCCCACCACAACCCAAGGTCCTGAGAAATTATATTTGATATTTCTAAGCTCCTGTCAAAATAGAGCTCTCGCTATTACACAGTGAGGACCATATACTGAAGAAATGTTCCAAACAAAACAATTTCTCTTATTTTGTAAGACCACAGTCAAAACAAAAACACCAGAAGAACCCTGCAATTTCTTTCATTTGTTACTATTTTAACCAATCATAATCCCACCAGAAGCACCAATGGAGGGTATATAAACCCACTCAAAAATATTACCTCCCAGGCTTTTTAAAATTTTATCATCAACACAACTCAATTTTGTTTCTTGTAAACAAATTATTTCAAATTTATTTAATTGACAAAAATCTTTAACTCCAAATCTTTTAGTATTCAAACCAAGCCCTCTTACATTCCATATAACCAACATAAGGAATAATACCAAACTCCTCAGACATAAGGAAGCAAAGCTTACTCAAAAGTAGCTCTCTCCTGCTCTATTTGCCTCACTTTTTTTAAGGGATCAAAATCCCCTTGAGGTTCAAGAATAATGACACAGTTTGAAGCAAAATTTTTTAACTGCTTATCAGAACAAACATCAAATAGAATAGGAACAAAAGAAGAAACCAAAGAAGAAGGATTTTCACCTGAACCACTTGAAGAAGCTCCATGAGAACTTTTATCAGAATTTTTCAAAGCAGCTCTTGGAAGTAGCTCTGTCCAAAGCAGTCATAGGTTCATAATCCACAAACCTAGAACATCTTCTGACATAAGCAATTTTTAAATTGAAACTAGGCTTTGTAGGAGGTAAGGAATTCAGAGGTTGAATAATTGGAATGTCCTCTTCATGTTCTAAAACTTCCTCACTGTTGAAAAGCACTGGCAACCATTTCTCACCATCATTATTTTCATTAGCCATATGAGCTTTGCCTTTAGAATCTTCAATTAAAACACTCTCTTCTATCTCATGAGCTAAGTTATCTTCAGAAATGATAGGAGACAAAGAGACATTCAACTCCACCTCAGACTCTTTACTCTTACTATCATCACCATCCACATCCTGATCAACCAACACTTCATTTTCAGAAACTATCACTTGTTTTGTAACTTGCTCACCCTAATATCCTTTGAAGAATTATCTTCCCAAATCCCTCGCACAGATTTTTTATTCTGATAAAAAATCTTAGCATCATTCCACAATCTGGCAGCTGGAGAATCTCATGGATTATTTCGCAAATCCTGTCTAACAGTCCATGAATTAGTGTCAGAATCTTTCAAAGAAGAAGAACCAGATCCACTATCCTTTTTCTCCCCTTAAACCATTTATTTTGATAAGAGCTCTGGTTGTTATCTTCCATATGATCCATTTTTTATTTTTTCTTTTCAACTTCAACAACTTCACCCATAACAGACATAATAGAAACTTCAACATTATACTGATTTTTTACAACAAAAATCTTCAAGATCTTAGGAATGTCAATGTATTCTAAACATCTGACTAACAAAATAGCATCCACAAACTCAGAACCAGCACTTGTCAGCGAATCTAGATCAACTAAATCAGCAAAAGTTTTCACCATCAACTCAAAGGATTCTCTATTCCATAAATGAGGAGGAACATTTTTCAATTTGATCCACACCTAAGAATTCCTCTTTTCAATCACATTCCATTCCCAAGCATTCCATCTTCGAAACTTAATTTTGTAAGATCTTAGAGATATAACCCCCATCTTTATTAAATCCTCCATTTGTCTCCACGGTTGAATTTTAACCAATACTTCTCCAAGATATAACCCCCATCTTTATTAAATCCTCCATTTGTCTCCACGGTTGAATTTTAACCAATACTTCTCCATTAGTAAAAAGTCTCACATCCCAATTCCTCCATTTGTCTCCACGGTTGAATTTTAACCAATACTTCTCCATTAGTAAAAAGTCTCACATCCCAATGTTTATTTAACGGAAAATAAGCTCACAAATCTAACTCCAGTCTTTCTAAAGAGACATTACCCCCCTCAACAAAAGAAATTATAGCAAAATTTCTGAATTTTTGAAAACCAGAATTCACCTCTCCTTCGAAACAAAGAACAACAGAAGAGAAACGAGGACGATCACCTGAAATCTTCAATTCAGCCTCCATATCCTCAAAATCTCTTGGTCCATGGTATTGACACTGAAGAACATTTTCTTGCCCTTCAAGTACTGACGAAAGAGGTCTTTTGCCTTTATCCTGTTGTTGTAAAGAATTATGTTTTCTTAAAGAAGATTGAACTAACGTCGCCCTATCCCGACGCCATTGCCAAGGATTCAACCGACCAGCACCACCATCGTTATTAGGGTTTTGCCCAAAACGACCATCGCCACCACGATTCCCAAGATTACCTCCAGATCGACCACCAAAATGGCCACGCCCTCCATATCCAGATCCTCTACCTCCATTACCACGACCTCCAGATTCAAATCAAAAACAATTCTTAGCTTCATGCCCAACTCCTTGACATTTGAAACACACAATAAGATCTCTACAATTTTTCGCCATGTGTTTCGATCCTCCACAACGAAAGCACAACCGATTCCTTCGGATAAGATCAGCAGAAAGATAAAGGGGAGAAGCAGATTTTTTGATAGACTGCGGCGATCTAGGGTTTCGTTTAACAACGTTAACCCAATCGCCCTTATCAATATCCACCTTCAATTCCTCTTGAGATCTACATGATGGATCAACTCCCACCGTTGATTTTAACCCAACCCCAGCCACAAAATTAATCCTAGTTTCATCACAAACCCTAGTTTCACCCAAAAGAGGCCAAACTTTGGGCTGTGAGGGACTGGGTTTTGAAACAAAGAGAGAATCAGAGATTAAAGAGATTAAAGAAGGAACAACTTCACCCCAAATTTTTTGAGCCAAAAAATTTGTTGTTTCAATTGGCCCAATCAACTCCTTCGAACTCATCCCCAAAATCGCCATTTTCCCTCCATATTTTCTTGCACAAGTTGATAGCTTTCACATTTTATTTCTTTTTGTTTTGCTTTATTGTAACAAAGAGCTCTATATTTATTCATGCTTATGCTTCTTAATTAATTTGTACACGATAACAATGCAGACGGTAGGTGAAGAAAGAGAGAGATGAGATTTACTTTGTTTTAGTTGAAATTACAACACTCCTAGTTTTGACAATGTGCAATAAGTTAGTTTAGGAGCCCATGTTATCTACATAAGATTCAGATTCTAATTGAGTGCACTTTGCTTTATCAGAATCCAAAATAAACTGACGTTCCAACTGGATGTGTTTTCTTTGAAATAAATTAAAATTCTAATTTGATATGGATCTTTTTTTATTTTTATTTTTACAGAACATTATTCTTCAGTTACATTCACAGGTTTCTTGCCTGCCCAAAGTTTTGATGGATACAAGTAAAAATTGTTTTGTGGACAACCTATCAATTTAGATGTATCCTCATGAATAAACATGCTACACCAAAAGCAAAATCTTGACATGGCACTAGATCTACTCTTTTATATGCTTTTCTTCTTGAAAGGGATTATGAACTCTCATCTTCTTACAAATGTTTGGTCACAGATCTGGATTAGGTAGGCTTTGTGGTGATTTTATTAGGCTATGGTATTCTTACATGACATTATGTAGTAGTATAGCTTGCTTAACTGACATTTGTGTTGATTTGACAAGCTTATTAAAATGTTAGGTGATTTCTTGAGTTGTTGGGCATTTCTTTATCATGCTCAAACAAACTACACAGAAAAAAAATCAGTAAGCGAAGGTATTTGTAAGTCAGGGTTTTGATTTTTTTTAGAATTTTTGAAAATTTGAATTTTTAAGTCATTTAGTCGAGAAGTAAAAGTTCTCCAATTAGCTATCCCATTTGAGTTTTGTAATAAAACGTTCTGCTAAAACAGTGGTCCATCATCACGCAAGCACATTTTTTTTGAGGAAGTCCTTACAAATCGCATCTTTTCTTGTCCTTGTGCAGTTGATATTGTCATGGCTGCTTCATCTCCTGTCCTGACTTCTAATAACAACAAGGTCGGGGAAGCTATCATAACAAGTACGGCCATAAATGGGAGCACAACTCCACAACGTTTGGTTGCCATGGACACCCCACCGAAGACAAACCAACGTGGGCATAACAAGCCTAGATGTATCAAGTGCGGCAATGTTGCTCGTTCCAGGTTTGTATGTGTTTGCTTTCTTAATTGCATACAAGGCAATCTTCAGCAACAATATTTCATTAGAGTTGGTGTATTTCTTGGGCAATTACAAGAAATAGTATTAGTTAGAAAATTGTTATAGAAAGATGCACTTTGAAAAGTTCTTAGGCAATAGCAAGAACTAGTACCAGCTAAATGCGAAAGGTGTGACCAAGGATGACTGGGAGGAAGAGATACCATTCATGCTTGGTGGAATGGATACAAATATCTGTGGCTATATCTTCATTTGACTTCACCTGACTATGGATCCAAATATGGTTTTCTATTTTTGATTGGACTTGTCTGAGGATGTCGAGGCTAGTGCGTCACCAGATGTGACATGTTCCCTCACTGGAATGAGCATGACCAGTCTATTATTTGATTTTATTTATCCTCATTAAAGCAAATGTTGTTATATTGATCCTTCCATAGAATCATCTTGGGTATCTGAACCATTTATCTATAATATGAATTGTGAAATCGGTGAGTGAAATTGCTATAATATCCTATATGGAACATCATTAAATTATCTCAAGAGCGCTTAATGTTCATAGATTTGTTTAATTGGATTTTTGTGAGAGGGTTGATTTCAGTGGGTATCCATTTGAAAATTTTCTCCAGAGTACCTCTTTTTCTTTGAAAATAACTTAGATGATGATGCTGATGACTCCTAATGTTCATTCTATATCGATTATCACAGGCGTTGAAATTGCTGGTAGGAATTGATAAACCGTAAATGATTAATTTGAGTGCCTTGCTGATTTGAGCTCTCACTTGCTTCTTGTGAATATGAGATTTTATAGGAAATTCTTGTGGTGAGCATTCCCTAGCATATCCTCTATGCTGTCACTGTTCTTGTAACTTTATTTTGTTTATGGATAATTGGCTCGTTACTGTTCATGAAGACTTGTAACCTTCTGGCTTCAGCAGTTTTTATTTTGGCTGTTGGTCAGAAGTCATCTTTTTTTTTTAAAGACGCACACTTTGCTTGTGGCTGTCCATGTGTATATTGATCCTCTAATACTTGGAACAGTCTCTGAAAGTGGTAACACACCCTGTAGGGCCAAGGGAGCGTCTCCTTGATAGAGGACATCCCTGACAATGAACTTCCTCCTTTAGAGGTTTCTTACTTTGATCCTCTAATACTTGAACAGTCTCTGAAAGAGGTACCACACCTTGTGGGGCCAAGGGAGCATCTCCTTCATAGAGGACATCCCTGACAATGAACTTCCTCCTTGGTTTGAGCATAATCTTAATTGTTTAGAATGTTATACTTCAGTGTGATTAGGAAGCTAAGTTGCATAGAAACGGGTATCGATACCTGTACGGTTGCGGGTACGGGACACGGTAAATTTGTAACATGTAGGTATGGGGACATGGGTACATATAGATATTGAAATCGATAATTTACATGAGATCATTAGTCATTTTCACTTCATGTGCTTTTAAAATTAAAATTCCTGCCACAATTTTAAGTTTCCTGTATTATGTTGATTATAATTAGCGGGGAAGTGCTCATTTCTAATTAGACACTCAAACAACACTTCAAAATTATAGTTTTGAACTTGAGTATGGGCTGAAACAAACCTGACCCAATCTAGTGAGTTTTTAAGAAATGGATGCAAGTGTAGGATATGCGTTTAAGAAGTGCATGCCAGGTGTATTAAATTTAAGCATATATCAACTACGTATATAAATAAATGTATGTCTCTGTGCGCACGCGCGTGGGTGTGCGCGCGCTTGTGCGTTCCTATACACACACACACACATACAAGGAGTGCCCGTGAAGTTTGGGTATGGGTAAGTGTCCAGTACGTGTCCGGTGCGGGTACGGCTTCATGATAGAAGTACTCAGGTAACACAGTTAGGAAGACTATTTTCTCGGGGAGGTTTATGAAAGTTTGAAAATCACAGCAAGGTTACAATATTCTATGTTGACTATGTTTTCTGTTGTGAATAACATTGGATTTTGCTTTTTCCCATTTTACAAGCTATGTAAAAGCTATTGCCATTTTCATTGCATTTGCATGATACATTGAGATTTGACCTGTTTTGCCTGTTACAAAAATTTGGAGTCCCATGAGGACAATGCTATCCAAATACATCTATGATACACTTTCGCACAACACTTGGTATTTGTTTCCAGTAGGCTTTTAGTACTGAAGAAATTGTTTAAGCGTGCTGTCCATTCTCCGTCTCTCCCTCATCCTCTTATGGATTTCCCCCCCTACATTTTCCTCTTAGAGATTTATTCAAAATTTACTACATAGGTGCCCGTTCCAGTCATGCAAGAACTGCTGTGCCAAAGCTCAGAATCCATGCCATATTCATTGTAAGTCTATTGATTGCAAAATTTTGTAGGTGTCATTTTTCCTATTTTAAAATTCAAGTTTGTGTAATATTGTAGGTGGATCTTTCTAGGTTTGACTATTGAGTTGAGATTAGCATTCTCTCATTATGAGATATATTTTTGCTATATTTCGGTTGCTAAGTTGTTCTCTGGGTTCATATTTCAGTTCTAAAACAAAGCAGCATTTTACCAGCACAACCACCTACTACTACCCCTTTACCCGAACAACCATCAACTGATGGGCCTTCAACTGGGTAAGTGCTGTTTAATTATGAAAACTTGAGGTGGAAACATTTCAAAGTAAGTTTTCACTGTTTATTTCCTGCTACAGGGCTTCCTGGAGACTGTCATCACTTAGAAAACTCTCTGCTACTTTTGCCAGTACTATGCGAGTAAAGAAGCCTCTCACACGAAAGGTAATTGGTTTTTCCAGTACATCCGGTATCCGTAAAACTTGTAACTGTGATATTATTGCTGATTGCTACCGAAATTTCACATATGGGATTATTTCTCTATTCCTTTGCCAGGTTAATTTCAAGCTTTTTCAAAATAACCTTTCTTCGTAAGATGTTCTAAAATTCCTCAAAAAATTTTAAGTCATAACTGGAAAATTTTGGTTCCTTCATTTATAATTAATTAATATGGTGTTTCATCTTGTCACCATAGTTAGAAAAACTCCATTTCCTCTTGAGAAAATTCATTTTTATGCCTTCATATATGAATTATATTAGATGGTCCAAAAAAAGTCGCATGTTTAAGAAAATCTTTTGCAATACACTTTGAAGTTTTTAGTAAATATTAAGATTTTCTTAAGTAAACTATTAATGCTTTTGGTAGCTATTATATTTTATTCTGATTCAGACATAATATTTTGCTATTAACCAGTGTATCCGTCAGACAATTTAAAATAAAGGTAAGAAAACATGAAACTCTCTATTATTTTGTAATAATTGATAATGATTTTGTTTTGGAATATGTGCATATATAGAAAATGTTAGGTATTTAATGTAATTTTGACATATATAATCCGTTTTAAATACAAGGCACTTGTTATTCAATCTTTTTTAACGTTTTCATTATCCTTTTATGATCGTTTTGAAATACATATATTTTTCTTTATTTCTTTGGTAAACAAACTTTTCCCATTCTGTGTTTCCCTGTGTACAATCTGCAAATTATAGTATCATCTCGTTGTAGACTTGCTCTAATATAAGAGCAGCATTTTAAGTATCATCTCATTGTAAACCATTTAGGCAAACTCTATAGTTGTTTACATTCTTTCATTTCTAAGGTGTTCATTTCTGAGGTGAAAATGTTCATATATTTTCTTTCCATATACTTGTTTTCATGTTTTTTTCCAGGATGCTGTGAATATAAATAAGTGGAGGTTTTCAAAGTTGAAGGAGCATGTTGAAGGAAACGTTGAAGCAGAGAATGAGGCATTTGATAGGTACACTTGGAATGTTAGATTACTTGAGGAAACATTCTCGACTGAGGGAATTATATCAGATGGCCAATCTACACTTGAACCCACTTCTTCTGATAAGTTTCAGAAGTTGGTGGCATCCCTTAAAGTGAAACTTATGGAGAGACCTTGTTAGTCAACAATTAAGGAAATTGCAGGGCAGCAGTCTTGTTCCTGATGAGAGCTCACCCTATGCAGATGAGCTAGATGCTGGTAAGGAGCATAAAAGACGGAAGAAAGAAGGAGAGTGGCGAGCCGAGAGGACTGCAGCATTTAGTGATCTTATTGATAAGTTGAGTAAAGCTCGGAGTGAGGATGATCTGAAACCGTGTTTGGAGATGAAGGTTCAGTTATTGAATCGTTCTGAAAGTAAGATTGATCAAGAGGATCCCGAGAAGTCCCTGTTACCAAAACAAGAACCAGATACTATCATGGATTCATCTGTGTACTCTGCGCCTAAGATATGTACTGCTGTTCATATGAATCAGGTTGCTCTTTCTAACATCAATGCCAAGCTCTCATCTCTTGTAGAGTTAGCAGAATTGTGATTCTGATAAGTAGGTTATGCAAAGTTGTGGTACGATCATTTACGTTGAAGGCAACTGTCTGGGGGAAAAGAGAGGATACAAAAGAGTGGGAAAAAAGTATTTTAGGATCCGCGTCATTCTCTACATGGGCTTGTGAGTTGGAAGCTCAACTCCAGATCGAGATTATTGGTAACATTAACTGAAACATCATGTTGTATGTGCACATTTCTTTGAAAAATTTGACAACAGATGGGCATGATCATCTCTGTTTTACCTTTTAGAAGTGGTGGTTCTAAAAGACCAGGGGCAGGGTTTATCTCAAGAAAAATATCGATTCAAACTCCAATCCCAGGACATTTGATTCAGGCTTAGGCCTGTAATCTTGTAAAAGATCATCAGTGGCCCAATAATCAACATATCTGATTGCTTCCAAGACAGGAATTTAGTGCTTTGGCGTGGTTGTGATTGAGAGGTGAGCAAGACCGAGGCATATGCTTATTGCAGCAGCAGAACTTTTGAAAGCTATGGGATAGTACACTTTTCAATGAACCGGGTCCATTGGGTTATTTGCGCGCTTTTCAAATAACCAGGTTCACTAATACTTTCTCTGGTTGAGCATATGGTCCCCGGTGTATGGCATTAAATGCGTACCAAATAGATGTGAACCATTAGGATTGAAGTATTTTTTATAAAAAGGTATTGTTTTATGTTGCCAACTTCCGTAAGCAATTTCTACCAGTGCCATCTTCGGATGAGAAGGAAGAAGATATCTATTCCTCTATAATAATGGGAAGATCCAAGATTTACTATTTATGCTACAGTAAATACTATAGCATTGTTAATATAGTGTACACAATAGGATCCAGATTCACTAGTCATGCTACAGCGATTACTGTAGCACATCTGTAACATTGTAGCAGTAAAAAAATATATTACCGTGACACTTACAAAAACCGTGTTTAAATACAGAATTACTGTAGCGGAAATAAAAATAACGGAGGTCGTGCTTTGCACGGGGTGCACACTAGTAACATTAGAGCAGAAATTCAACGGAAGGGAATAAGATCTTTGTGGCTATCAATAATTTGAATGGCAAGTTTGATTGAGGAAAAGCAATGCTAAAGAGTTTCCATGTTTGAGATTGATGTTTGAAATTCAAAATGAGTCGGAAACCCCTTAGTCTGCCCCCAAAAATTAATAAATAATCAGCTAGTTCGCTTTTTTTTCCCCTCCTTTCTTTCTTTTCAATATATATATATATTTCAGTGCTTCAATTCCATGGTCACCAGGGCGATCCCATGTCTTTATCCCTCACATCTATTTCCTTCTCAAAGATGCACGCACACACTCTCTCTCTCTCTCCACCATTCTTTCCTCGATGACTTCCCTTGGTTTCACGCGCTCTACATAAAAGCTATACTGCAATCAAAGTGGTGCTGCTCCTATTAAAGGTTGGTGGTGCACTAAAACAAGGATTCCCAAATTGGTGTTAAAGAAGGTTAAGTTATAATAATGGAAAAAGAGAATTACTCCTTTATGGAGACTACAAGGTCTTCTTTAAACGTTTTCTAATTGTATTGGTGGGGGGTTTTCCTAACATGTGCTAGGGACTCTTTGGTTTATTCTCCCGCCCTCCAATCCTCAAGATCTCACTGCTGCTTTTCTCTCCTTTTGAAGTGGATCACCATACGCTCGATTATAGTGCAAGCCAAGAATGCCTTGCTCACTACTCTCAGACCAAGGAGATAAAATTATTCACTGTATTCCTCCTCCATCATTTCCACTTTATGTTGATACGATTCCTACCCTCCTATCCATAACTTGGATTGGTACAAAACTTCAAACGCGTTGTTGGATGCGTATAAATCATACTCGCTTCTTGCAATATGGTTTTTATTTAATCAAATAGGATGATTTATTTATATCCCATCATTTCTGTCTCATAACGCATTCCATCCCTTCTTTAGTTTGCCAAAAAAAAAAAAACTAGATTTGAGAACACGTACTTAATCCATGAGTCTTTTAATTATACGTTGTTTTTAAAGATATCTATTACGATGGAAAGAAGGACGAACGATCTTTCTAGTTAACAAAATTGGGGGTGAAGTGAGGGAAGTTATCGCCATCCCAAAGCATATATACTTGCAAGTTACAAAAGGTCGTTACGATGAAGAACAAGAAAGAAGAGGTGGGATGAGTTTGTCATCACAATGTAAAACTGCAACCCCGGTTGATTTTCAATTTGAGCATATTTTAATTATAGATAGATACTCGTTTTGTCTAAACTGTCTAAATTCAAATATACATGGAGCCGTGAGTACCTAAAGCATACTAGGGCTTCTAACATAGAACCTCACTTGTTAATTACGACCTTGTTTCACGGTCTAAAGCTATGTGAAACCTAACTTGTTGGTTGTCAATTTCCACCAATACGCCAGGACCTAATTAATTAAAATAAAGCTTGTTTGTCCGAGAAGTTGATGAACAATTTAAAAGTTTGTTGGCCCGATGCGGAACTTGAAGCCCGGAGATCTGGATTTGCTTTTGGTGTTGGTTTGGTCAGCTTTTGATTTAAGTTTAATTTAGTGAATGATGTGATCATTGTAATCACCCTAGAGCAATTAAGAGTTCAATTATAAATAGTTAGTTGATGACAGCATGTGCACATCTTTGATAAAAGCTTTAATATTGGCAGGATAGTGTCGATATCAGTGGATATGGTACAGCGGTGGAAGGAAGAGGGGTGAATTGGATTAATATGGGAGGTTTCATGTTTGTTTGATTATGAAATTAAGCCCTTCAATTAAGTTTCGATATCGAAAAAGCTATTTGGCTCGCGGTTGGACCGCGAGCCCCCAACTCGTAGTGAGGGGAACAGGGTGGGTGGGCCCCACAGCAGTGGGGGCCCACCCCCCTGTTCCCCTCACTGCGAGACCGCGAGCCAAATAGCAGGGTTGTTTCGATATTATGTACACCTACTGTATATGCTCTGTTGTGCCTTGAACTTGTGATGTTTCTTTCAGGGTTAATTACGGATAGACCCTGTACGTGTGCTATCGCTCAATTGTGGATAGATCCATAGACTCCTTGTAACGTTTGCTCAAGTGTGGATAGATTCCCAAGTAATTTTTTTAAAGAAAAATTCTTGAAAGAGTCAGAATAAGCCTCAGAAGGTTGAATCGGAGTCTATCTGCACTTGGACTATAGAACAAGTGGACTAACTCTTTTTTCGTTACAAGGGATGTCTTTTTAATTCTCTAAATAAAGGGGAATTAGTTAATTAGAACTGAAAGTAGAATTGGAATAATTTCTGAATAAAAGTTTTAATGTGAAAGGATTTGAATTATCACAAATTTTGCACAAACAAAGATACAGTAACTGTGATTTCAGTAAATAAACCACGTAAGCATTAGCTTTTGTGCCAAACTCCCATCCCCATTGGCAGGTTATCTTTAACACTAGACTAAACACGGGATTATAATCTAAGCACATATATTAATTCCACTATATTTCATTATTTCCATTAAACTAGCTAAATTGAAAAAGAAGCAAACTAGTTTTTCCTAATTCAGTAAAAGGTCCTCTTCCTAGTTCAACCCTAGAGATATTATACTTTTTTTAGTTGATTAATTTCTCTAAGAACCAGCATCAGCAAAGAGCCAAAAGGCAACAAATGGGCTTGGGTTGGAGATGAGATACCTAGCACATGGAGATGTGCGTATCCTCATCTGCAGGAACATGCAATTAGAGCAACAATTAATAGATCACGAGATGAATGGGATAGGTTAACTTGACAAAGGATTGGTTTTCTCAGTGATTCAATATTAACAGGAAGCAAACTTAGAGGGGGAAAAAAAGAAGAAAACTAATTGAAAAATGACACCAATTGGGCATCTCGTCACGTTGAAGGGCATAATTTATAAAGGTTTAATTCATTATATGCATCCAAAATCCACGCCCATCTTTAAGAACGAGTTTTGAAATGGGATATGCTAATGCAGAAAATGATCACGTACCAAATTCTGCGGTTGTGTTTCTTTATGCTTATTAGATGTCAAAATTGCACGGAGTGCGGATCTTGTCAGAACTTCTCGTGCAAGCGTTCTGAACCTAGCAAGGAGAAGAGAGTATTTTGGTTTGTAGCTAACTGAATCATGAGTGTGCTACTGAAACACAATATCTAGTTTGAAGTTAAAACCATTCACTACAAAATGTGTCCAGACCCCAAAAGCAGAAAGTTCATGTGACCTGCCCCATTGTATTTTGCCCCATGTGATTCAGCCCCAAATACACATTGTATTTGTGTTAAGGCCCCAAAGTACCAGATCCTGAGAAAAACCCAACAAAAGTTACAAATTTACCCTTTGATTTGATTGAGCTTGGTAACTGCGCCCATCCCTTTAACCCCATCCCATCCCATCTCTCTCTCTCTCTCTCTCTCTCTCTCTCTCTCTCCACTCTATCTCTCAGCTTCTCCTTCTCTCTCACTTCCGTCATGGCCGCTGAAAATGATCAGACTGAGGAGGTCGTGGAAGGCGAAGGCGAGGACGGTGGTCATGGAGTCGGAGGTCGGGGAGTCATCTTATAAACAGCTCGTGAACGCGGGTTCAACAACAAACACGGAACATGGTCCGGGGACCCGCGAGCTGACGGAGCCTGGAGCTTTGGTCTGATGCATCGTTGTTCTCCCCTTTCTAGGTTACGGAATATCTTTACCCAAATCAATGTCTTAATCAAGATAGTGCTCTTGTTTTCTTGTAATTTATGAAGGGAATCAATATTGGATTTTTGTAGTTTTTCTCTTTCATTTAATTGAAATGAGATCTCCTTGGATTCTTGAACAGCAGTTTGGGTTTTTCTTTAATGCCTTTTTCTTGTGTGATTTGGTGATTGACAGAGTTTTGTATAAGAGATTAACAGCAGAAATTCAAAAGCTCACATTGAATCTTCAGACATATCGACATTTAGCTAAAAATTGAAGATAATGTGATTAAAAGTCGACTAAAGAATCTAAGAACCTGTGAATTTGAAAGGGGGGTCAAGGAAAATTAGAACTATAAATGTTAGTTCTAAGGGCTGTTATGTTAGTTCTAAGGGCTGGAATGTTAGTTCTAATGGCTAGAACTAACAAAGAGCCCAATGTTAGTTCTAAGGGCTGGAATGTTAGTTCTAATGGCTAGAACTAACAAAGAGCCCAAGAGGGCTGGAATGTTAGTTCTAATGGCTAGAACTAACAAAGAGCCCAAGAGGGCTGGAATGTTAGTTCTAATGGCTAGAACTAACAAAGAGCCCAAGAGGGCTGGAATGTTAGTTCTAATGGCTAGAACTAACAAAGAGCCCAAGAGGGCTGGAATGTTAGTTCTAATGGCTAGAACTAACAAAGAGCCCAAGAGGGCTGGAATGTTAGTTCTAATGGCTAGAACTAACATTGGGCTAACTAACAAAGAACTCAATGTTAGTTCTAAGGGCTGGAATGTTAGTTCTAATGGCTAGAACTAACATTGGGCTAACTAACAAAGAACTCAATGTTAGAACTAATACTGTGCAGAATAGAACTAACACTCTACAGATTAGAACTAACACTGTGCAGATTAGAACTAACACTCTACAGAATAGAACTAACACTGTGCAGATTAGAACTAACACTCTACAGAACGGAACTAACACTGTGCAGAATAGAACTAACACTCTACAGATTAGAACTAACACTGTGCAGATTAGAACTAACACTCTACAGAATAGAACTAACACTGTGCAGATTAGAACTAACACTCTACAGAATAGAACTAACACTGTGCAGATTAGAACTAACA